TTAATTGAATAGTAATACACATATATACACACCCACACACACACCCACATACACACACATACTTACAGTTATATTATAGTATACATCACATACTGTACACTGATATTTGTAATCATTAGTACCTAATTGTGTATTTTTGATGGCATATTTGATAATATAATCGGTACTAACGTTTGTTATACTACTAGTGTCCAGTAATGTCACTACCGGTTCGTTACTACTTTTTGTTGGAAATGTCACCTGAAATTCAAACTGACTGCCATTTTTATACATCAAATAGTCATCGATATATACTTTTGGATAACCAATCATTAAAGTCCACATACGATAGACTTGGATGCCATCAAACTGTCCATTTGGTGCCAATATATTACATACCGATTGGTTGTAACAGTGCGACCCATAGATTAACACAATTATGGCAAACAATTGCAACGGTAGAGCCATAGTAGTCATTAATTGCTATATTTTGTAGACAATTATTTTTTATTTATTATTATTATTTTTTGCCGTTAAATAACTTTAAAAAAAATAGTTAACTGAAAAAAATAATTAATTATTTAAATACTTCAAATCATATGAATGATTATTAGTATTATTAGTATAAAGTTATTGTATTATTGTTTCATAAGATTTATTATTTATAATTATTGTGATAATAATATCAATTAATTATTAAAATAATTTCTAAATTAAAAGATTTATTATTATACATATTATTTGTTATAATTAATTTTGCTTTGTTTTGTTAATTTTTATTAATGTAAAACCTATATAATTAAAAATTTGAATAATAATTGATGACATCATTGAAACTATTAAAACTAATACTACTATAACTACTATATACTATATCATCAGTTAAATATTATATTATTTTATTAGTAATTTTCTTGAAAATATTAATTTATATATAAAACAAAACACAACAAAAACTTTTATTCAAAAAAAATATTTTTATTAACTATCTTTCCATTAAAGTCTAAATAAACTAAAATTATATTTTTTTATAGAAATAAATGTTTAATAACTAATAATGTGTTTTAATAACTGAATAATAAATTTGTTTTATATGTTATATTTGTAAATATTGATATAATTTTGTTGTTTTTGTAATATATCTATTTTTTGTTGTAAAAATCAAAATCTAGATATATATATATATTTGATTTTTATATATTTTTTGATAGTATAGTCACACACTTGGAGACTGTCCTCTATTGTCAGCGTTGTCCGGATGTCCAGCCAGAGAGGAGGGAACGGTAGTTGACTTGGGATTAACTATTATTTTGTTGTCGACATTATTCTTTGACACAAAGACTGATCGATCAGTACGTGTCTGTCCATCGTCTGAGGCGATGGTAAACACCGATTCTATACGAGTTTCGTCATTAAATTTAGGCTCAATTTTTGCCGACTTTTTCTTAACAATGAATATAAAAAAAATTTATGAGTATTTATGACTAAATAAAAATAAATTAATTAATTAAAAAACTTATAATTATATACTTGAGTTTTGATAGTTGTTAACGATTGTTGATAACATATGTAATAAATTAGCAAACAATTGGCTAAAATAACGGCCAATATTACGACAATCGCTATCATTATGTAAATCCAATATTTATCAGCTGATTGATCATCGGTAGGACTGGGAGGTGAAGGAAACAGTATTATTGATGGTGTTATACCTTTTAGCCAAATATTCGGACAGTTAGTGGCATACGGTTTCAGTGTTAATATTGGGGATAACTTTTTGTTCAATGGTGTCGAAAAATAGTAGGGTTTTCCGTCGATTGTTAAGAATACTATATGTCCCGATCTATTGTCGCCGATTCCATAATCGACAATACCGTCGACCAGTGGCCAGAGATCGGCGGATAAATCGTCGATAAACTTTGGATACCAACACAATCTCTGTTTGCATTTAATTGAATTATATGTTTCTACTATTGACATAAAAAATATGAATTTCATATCATTTTTACGATGTCTGTCCACTACTATTACAAATGTTGACCATCCGGTGGCAACGGGACTGAATAGTACAGAATCTGTGATATCGTATTGTAAATTGGACTCATATTTCAATGGATTAGCTGATCCATTGTTTTCCAGACATTTAACCAAATTTGTCGTTGGAGTGGAAGTGTCCTAATATATAGAAAAAACTTTTATTTTTATTTTGTTTTTTTTTAAATACCAAACCCTTATGTGTACTACATATGTATACTTACATTAAGATAGACATCACAGAAATAGCACTTATAGCTTACAATTAAGTCATTATTGCCATAATTTGCAATTTTTAAAGCAAATTTAGCCGAACTATCGGTACTGATGTTTGTGACGACACTGTTGTCTGCTATTGTCACCAGTGGTTCATTGCTATCACTATCTGCTTGATTGGTGGGAAACGACACCTCAAACTGAAATTGTTGTCTATTTCTGTACATTACGTATACATCGGTAAAGTTGCTGTCCTTTATATAATATAAATCCCATTTGTGATCGACTCGTATGCCATCCGATCGTCCATTTGGTGCCAATATATTGCATACAGACTGTTGTTGTTGTTGTAGCTGACTGTGCGACCAATGGATGGACACAATTATGGCAAACAACGATAACATTGGATAATACATTAAAAATGAAAATTATTATTATTCAATATTATAGACACAAAAAAACAATCAAAAAAATGTAATCACAAACAAACAAATGGGTAAAAAACAAATCCAAATTCAGTTAATAAATTTGAGAATAATTTTTTAGTTACTATTTAATTAATTTTTTTGAACATATTTTTAAAAATCACGCTAAAACAATAAATATTGTATTTTATTGTTTCAATAATTAATATAAAAATTTATTATTATAATTATTATTAGATTTAAAAAATATTTATTATAAATTTACATTATCTTGCATGCGATAATTGATATTATGATACTAATTAAAGTAAATACACAATAATATTTAAAAAATAAAACAGTTATATAAAGCATTAGTTATCAATTTGTTTCAAATAGTTTCAATGATGTCATCAATTTTTATTCATATACGACAACAACACCATCAGCTACTGGCGATCAATTGGTTTGCCATTAATAAGTGGTGGTCTAATCACCGGATAATAAATGATAGGCCCAGTTGTCAACAATCGTCGTCATCTCTAACTACTACCAGTGCTCACTTCAAATCAATCAACTGTAGTATTAGTAGTCAACTGACGATGAGATGCGCTTATATGATACCATCGGATAGTATACCGAATATCTTACGTAATAATCAAACAAATGTCGTCAGATTAGTAAACTGGGGTTATATTGGTGGCGGTGGTACTATCGGAACCGGGTGTGTGATTAACAAAAAATACGGTCTATTGGTTACCAACACTCATATAGCTGACGATAAAAGACAATTGGATTGCCATTATATGATAAAAAATAGTGATAATCATATCATTAGTCGTTATTGTAAAGGACGGGTACTCTACTGTGAACCGTATCGTGATTTAGCACTCGTTAGACTAGAATTTACTGACAGTCATGACAAAGACAACGGACTGACCAATGAGTTTGTATTGGCCGTCAGAAACCGGCCGATTTTGGCGAACGACTTATCTGTGTTGGATATCCACAATCCATTAAACAGTGTATGACTTTAGGCTATGTTTGTTGCGGTCAGAGTCCGTTTAAAGGCCAAATCTTTTGGTATAATGTCAACTCTTTTATATACCATTCCAGTGGTACAACCGGAGGCTATTCTGGTGGACCATTGATCGATGAAATGGGACGGTTAGCCGGTATTCATCACTCAAGAATATTTCTATATAAACATAAGATATCATGCGCTGCACTATCTATTGATGTTAAAGGTTTATATGTTTGTTATAATTATATATATATAAACAAATTAATTAACAGAAAAACAAAATTATGATAATTATTAAAATGTTTTATTTTTTTTTAATGTCTAGACTTCTACAATAATGCAAAAGAGTTTAACAAACAAAAAGTATTAATATATATATAATTAATATATTTATTATTAAAATAATATATTTTTTTTATATGTATTTAATGTAAATACAGAATAAATATCGAAATAATAGGAAACAGTTTGTCGAAACTGAATGCCAATTGACTAACAAACTAGTATTGGGTGTTGAAATCTATTGGTATTGTTATGACTACTGTAGTAAACAATATAAACTAATGGCCGATAAAGAGGACCGAAAGTTCCCTAATATAAAGAAAAATAAATTATTAGACAGTTGTATAATAGTGTGGAATGTCATCAAACCAATGGACAGTACAGTGAATGAGTTGTTAGTATTGAAAGATTATTATTAATATTATTATTATTTATAAAATATTTAAAATACATAACTATAATATTATACATAACAAATAATATTTTTTTTATCTCATTTTTTTCAATTTTTGATACTAATAGTCAAACATTTAAGGAATTTGATATAATTTTTAGAATTAATGACGATTTTGTCGAATCTATCGATGATTTATACGAAACAATTCAATCAAATGGTATGAATCCGATTGAATTGAAAGTCATAAGGAATGATAAAGTGCTTGAAATCACTGTAACTCCAAAACGATTGACACAATCAATAGGATTTGCTTAAAGGGTTTACAAATCAATTCAATTATACAACAAATCCATTGAAATATTATATATAACTATTCAAAAAAAAAAATATTTTTAAAAGTTTTTTATTTATTGTTTAATTCAATTTCAATTCAATATTTATATTATTATTATTATTATTGATTACTAAGATTAAAAACATTATTTTGTTAAAATAAAAAATTTTTTGTTTATTAACTAATAAAAATTGATAATATTGTGAAATAAATAGTACAATAACAACCAAAAAATAAACTATTTATAAAAGTTTTTTTTAAGAGTTTTCTGTTTTAATTTCATAACTAATTAATTATTATTTTTATTTTAATTTTTTATGTATTACTACTCCTAATTTAATCAATTATTAATAACCGATTTTCTCGATATATCGATCGTAGACTTATTGGTTTGATTAGTTGACATCGATTTTTTAGTATTGATTGTTTCGGTAGATATCGATCCGACCCGAACCGCCCAATCGGTGTCCATTTGGCCGACTTTACTACGAATTTCTGCCGGCAGTCTTTCTGATTTCTGATTTCGGGTGAAAAAAATTAAATTAAAATAAGTTTTTTAGATTATTATTAATAAATAGTTTTTTTTAAAAGATAATTACATTTAAATTGGTTTCATTGTATTTGGTTTTAAGCTTATTATTTCGGTGTAAGCATATAATAACTATCGCAACAATAATACCGATGGTTAATATGAGACACCCGACAACAATGGCCACCAATATGTTAAACCATATATCATTTGGTTGTTCAACAGTTACAATATTATCTGTTTGATTGTTTGACAATGTTGTAGACGACTGTCCTTTAGTACTACTACTACTACTACTGATAGGCATCAATGTTGTTGTAGTTGTTGCTGATGATGATGTCATCGGTATTGTTGTTGAAGTCATTTTGATTGTTGTTGTCGTTGTTTGTATGGTATTATCAGTAGTAGTATTAGTATTATTGCTATTATTATCGGACCAAATACTGTCACATTCAGTGCCATACTTAAGAAAATTGATTTCATTTTTACACTAAAACAGTAGATAAAATTGATTAGTATTATCGATAGTATTATTATTTTCTGTAAACTATTTAACAAATAATTTAATAGACACTACATATATCGTATACTGTATATAACAACATACCTGTTCGGACAAGCGCTGACCTAACGGTGTCCAACAATAATAGGGCTTAGAGTTTAGTTTGAAAAACAATATCCAACCCTTGCGATTGTTACCGTAATTATAGCCAACAATACCATCGATGGCCGACCATAGCTTCGGGTCGATATCAAAGACAAATGTCGGTATCTGACAGTCCAATTGATCGCAGTCTTTGTGATCGAAAATCACGTCCGACTGGACGTAATAGTATTTGATGCTTACCGACGATGTATTTACCGACGGATATACTATTGGGCTGACCAGATAGACATAGGTTGATCGGGCGGCCGGTACGGGACTGAACATTAGGTCATTCGGATCGTAGTCTTTATTATAGACTTTCGTTGTATTGTTGGCATCCATACAGACTGTTTTGATTGACTTGTTTTGGTTGTCCTAAGAAATTGTTGAGAGAGAGTGTGTGTGTGTGTGAGAGAGAGAGAGAGAGAGAGAGAGAGAGAGAGAGAGAGAGCATAAACTTTATATATTAGGAATCAGTTGTGTTTTATACTTACTTTATATTCATTGAAACAATTATACGAATTATACGTTTGATTTATGATATCTTTAGGACTAAACCATTTGATTGTCGATATCGGATACCTATCAGTCTTATTCATTACCAATCGGATGACTGGTTCATCATTATTGTCCGAAAAAGTTACGTTAAACCAGAATAGCCGACCGTTTCTATACATAATATAGACATCGTTGTAGTGATTGGCATAGATTTTGTCCAGTGACCACTGATGATGGACACCGATACCAGTGAACTGGCCATTGGGTGCCAGTATATCGCACGGGTTGTCTAGTAGTAGACAGTGATAGAAATACCAATGTATCGATAAATAAAAGATAGTAGTATATAATGAGTTCATATTATTTGAGATATTGATTAATTTTTTAATTAAATTCAATGTTCAGCTATAATAATATCAGTAATAAAAAATTAATTGAAATTCAAATAATAATAATATTTGAAATGTTATGATTCATAACTTATGATATAAAAAATATATTTTTAGTTATCGCGAGATAAATACAGTATTATTGAGTTATTATAACTAATTAAAAAAACATTTATATTATAAATTTTATTGGAAAAAAATTAATTAATTAGAAATATTTACTTATTTAAATTTATTTGATAAGTTAATAGTACTGTTTTTTTTTTACTTTTTAGTATTTGTATAAAAACATTTTTATGAGTAATACACATATTATATATTTATTTTAATATCCTTATTTTATTTGATAAATTTTTAATATAATTATAATTACATATATTTGTATTTATTTGAATAAAAAGTAATTAAGTTTAAAGATATAATAATATTTAATAATAATACTAAAAAATAATAATAACTTATATTTTTGATAAGTTAATAGTTGATCTGCTGATTGACTTTTTAGTATTTGGTAAAAACATTTTGATAATTAGTACAAACATTATAATAATGACAATCAATATGACTATTCCGATGACAATCAATATATAATAGATAATCAGATTATAATTTGTGGGCCATATGTTTGAACAATTAGTGGCATATGGTGTTAGACTGTCTATGGATTTACACTTAAAAAAAATTAGAGAGAAAAAAACATAATTAAAATAATAATAAATTATATAATAATTTAATCATTACTTTTGACGACAGACTCTGATTGAATGGTGTACTACAATAGTATGGCTCGGAGTCGACATTGAAAAACAATATATGACCCGATTTTTTGCTGTTAACATCGGCGATACCATAGTCGACAATACCGTCGACCAGTGGCCAGATATCGTCGGGTATATCGTCGATGAATTTTGGATACAAACAACCAAATTGTATTTTGCATTCATCGAAACTCATTGTCTTATTAATCCAAAAATAGGTAAACATGACATAATTTTTTTGATGTCTGTTCACTGATATAACATATGTAGTCAATAGACGAGGAACGGGACTAAATAGGATAATATCTTTGATATTGTATTGTAAATGATTGTAATGTTTTATTTCTTTAAAATAACATCGGGTTTCGATAGTTGTGTTTTTGATGGGCTATTAAATATAATTAATATATTTAATTGTATTACATACACATACACATACACATACACATACACATACACATACACATACACATACACATACACATACACATACACATACACATACACATACACATACACATACACATACACATACACATACACATACACATACACATACACATACACATACACATACACATACACATACACATACACATACACATACACATACACATACACATACACATACACATACACATACACATACACATACACATACACATACACATACACATACACATACACATACACATACACATACACATACACATACACATACACATACACATACACATACACATACACATACACATACACATACACATACACATACACATACACATACACATACTTACAGTTATAGTATAGTATACTATACAATCTAAACATTGATAAAAATAGCTATTATTTTCTAAATATGTAGTTTTGATGGCATATTTGATAACATCTGTCATAACGTTTGTTACATAACTATTGTCTAGTAATGAAACTACCGGTTCATTACTACTGCTTGTTGGAAACGATACCTTAAATTCAAATTGATAGCCATTTTTATACATTAGATATAAATCTTTGTATTGATTATCCCAGGAATTCTTAATAGGCCACAAACGGTATACTCGGATGCCATCAAACTGTCCATTTGGTGCAAATATATTACATACCGATGGGTTGTAACAGTGCGACCAATAGATGGACACAATTATGGCAAACAATTTTAACGGTAGAGACATATTAGTAGTCTTTAGCTATACTTTCTAAACAATTATTAATCCAATAGTTTTTTGTTATGTTTGAGACTTATAATGATTTTTGATAAAAATCATTACAAAATTGTTTTAACAAATAGAAAAAACTAAAGAAAATTAATTAGTTATTTTGAATCTAGAATTTCAATTCATAACAATGTTTATGTTTATGATTATTATTATTATTATTATTACTAGTTTTACCCGCGCAACATGTATAGTATTGCATACTCTTACTAATTGCTTAACAAAATTCTTTATAATGAGACCTATAGATATACATATACAATAGTCAACTACAATTATAATTCTGATTATAAATGACTATTTTGCTATATTTATGCTATCCATATAAACGTCTATAAAAAAAGTTCGCGCTATTAAAAATTGATGATTTTTTTTGCTATAATGTTGTATACATGTACAGTTACAATATATGTAAAAATAAATTTACGCAATCAAGAGAAACGTCTTTGAAACTGTTAAGCAATATTAAAATTTTTTAGTTAAAATGTAGAATACATATGTAGTTAAAATCTAAGTAAAAATAAATTTATGCTATCCATATAAACGTCTATAAAAAAAGTTCGCGCTATTAAAAATTAATGATTTTTTTGTATAATGTTGTATACATGTAAAGTTACAATATATGTAAAAATAAATTTACGCAATCATAAAAAACGTCTTTGAAACTGTTAAGCAATATTAGAATTTTTATTTTTTTAGTTAGATTGTAGAATACATATGTAGTTAAAATCTAAGTAAAAATAAATTTACGCAATCAAGAGAAACGTCTTTGAAACTGTTAAGCAATATTAGAATTTTTTAGTTAAAATGTAGAATACATATGTAGTTAAAATCTAAGTAAAAATAAATTTATGCTATCCATATAAACGTCTATAAAAAAAGTTCGCGCTATTAAAAATTAATGATTTTTTTGTATAATGTATACATGTAAAGTTACAATATATGTAAAAATAAATTTACGCAATCATAAAAAACGTCTTTGAAACTGTTAAGCAATATTAGAATTTTTATTTTTTTAGTTAGATTGTAGAATACATATGTAGTTAAAATCTATGTAAAAATAAATTTATGCTATCCATATAAACGTCTATAAAAAAAGTTCGCGCTATTAAAAATTAATGATTTTTTGGTATAATGTTGTATACATGTAAAGTTACAATATATGTAAAAATAAATTTACGCAATCATAAAAAACGTCTTTGAAACTGTTAAGCAATATTAGAATTTTTATTTTTTTAGTTAGATTGTAGAATACATATGTATTAAAATCTAAGTAAAAATAAATTTATACTATCCATAAAAACATCTATAAAAAAAGTTCGCGCTATTAAAAATTGATGATTTTTTGGTATAATGTTGTTTACATATACAGTTACAATATATGTAAAAATAAATTTACGCAATCAAGAGAAACGTCTTTAAAACTGCTTATCAATATTTATAATTTTTTATTTTTAGTTATATTGTATAATTCTTATGTAGTTACAATATAATGGAAAATAAATTTATGCTATCAATAAAATCGTCAATAAAAAAAGTTCGCGCTATTAAAATTTGATGATATTTTAGTATAATGTTGTTTACATATACAGTTACAATATATGTAAAAATAAATTTACGCAATCAAGAGAAACGTCTTTAAAACTGTTATCAATATTTTTAATTTTTTATTTTTAGTTATATTGTATAATTCATATGTAGTTACAATATAATGGAAAATAAATTTATGCTATCAAAAGAAACGTCTTTAAAACTGCTTATCAATATTTAAAATTTTTTTTTTTTATTGTAGAATACATATGTATTTACAATATAAATTAAGACTTGAATCTGATAATTTACGCGTAACACAATCAATAGAAACGTCTTTAAAACTGCTTATCAATATTTATAATTTTTTATATTGTAGAATAGAATACATATGTAGAAACACTCGATTTTTAATATAAACTCGAGATTAATATTGAATAAATATTTACATAAAATACATTTTCATGAAAAAAGATATTGTTTAACATTAATAATTATTAATTAAATATATTTAACAATTCTAATAAATCACGTGATTTAATAAATATTTAATAAACACGTGAATTAAAAATTTAAAAAATACTATTAAAACAGTTTATCTCAAAAACAGTTAATTTTTGTTATTAACAAATTATACTTCGTTTCCTTATCTTATTGGATCTACTAATCATTTATGACCAGTGATATAAATTTAGAGATGGATGACATTGATATGATATCATTGAATTCCGTAGATTTCAATGATGAAGAATTCAATGAAGACAACATAGAAGTGAATCAATTATTTAATGAGATAGAAATGCCTGTTTTTATGGAAATGTCTGATGAATGCAAAGATGAACAGTTTGTTCTCGATGTTCTCAATGAATGTGACAACGGTTTTGATGATGAAGAAGAGTTCGATCATTTGATGTTACAAATGCCAATAAAACAGCTGATCAACTCTTCGATAATGTATTCAAAAGATGTTAACAACAATTCGAATCCCGAGACGACTAAAGCCAGTTCACTACAACTTAATTTGATTTCCGTTAATTTTAATGATGGCATTAAAGAAGATCAACAATTTGTTGAGATCCCAGAGATTGAGATCCCAGAGATTGAGATCCCAGAGATTGAGATCCCAGAGATTGAGATCCCAGAGATTGAGATCCCAGAGATTGAGATCTTCGAGATTTATATTCCAGAGATTAAGATCCCAGAGAATGAGATCCCAGAGATAGAGTTAATCAATGATAAGTGCCAAAGAGATCAGTTGGTCGACGATGTTACCAATGAATGGGAAAATGGTTTCGAGGATGAGGAAGAGTTTGATAAATTGATGTCAGATATCCAAATACAACATTTGATCAATACGTTTATAATAAATTCAAAAGATGTTAACACCAATTCAAGTCTCGAAACGGTTAAAGACTTTACACAACCACTCGTACAAAATTCGGATCATTTCATAGTTAGTAATGAAATCAATCACCCGTTCAATGAGAAAC